TTAGCTTCTTAAAGACAAGCTTTGATTTTAAATTCCTGTGTTATGCTTAGGGAAGAAGGGAACAAGACCAAATAGGGGAAATATACAAATTACGTATCTCCACAGAGAATTAGCTTATGACTATTAGCATATGTGAAGGATTTCAGAACAAAAGATTTAGTACTTGGAAGCCTTTAAGGAAACTATCTACATTTTACCAAATTCTATCAGTCACCAACCTCGTTTCAATTTCTTTGAAAACTGCAATGTGTGAATAAACCACATAAAGATAATCGACAATTTGTAATGATCTAATGATCACTTTATTAAAATCAGTTCATGAACCATTTCATACTAGCATTTCTTTAAAACTCCAATTTAAATAGAAATATATTCAGTTCTAAAAGACTACATGTGAAAAATATACGACAGAAATAAATCCCTAACATGTAGTACTGAAATTTTTAACATAAAAAATAGACCTATGAAAATATGGGCATTCTAGTCAAATATAATGGGATTAACACACATTGTTATATCTGGTATCTTAAAAATATGAAGACTGAGATTTATTGCTATATCATCCTGCCAACAGTCAAAATAAAGAACACAAGACGCACCACAACCACCGTACTGAAGTACCACACAACCTAGAAATACTATGAACATAGCCTAGGTACATTTACTCTGTAATATATCCACTGGTACAGGAAAATCTTACTAATCAAGAGCAGTTCTAATTGATAAAGTCTTTTAGAGTGTTTCAGAAAGAGCAATTTAAGCATTCACAAGCATTTGTTGGGCTTTTAAATATATAATTTCAAATATGCAAATTTGCATTGACCAAATATTACCTATTACAATTCCTTTGGGCACTGATTTTAAAGACAAAGAATTTTTTTTAAACATTTGTCATTTATGTGTGTCTGTATGTGCACATGTGTGTCGGTGCCCAAAGAAGCCAGAAGTGGGTGTTGGATCCCTTGGAGCTAGATTTACAGGTGGTTGCAAACCACCCAACTTGGGTTCTGGGAACTGAATTTGGGTCCTCTGTAAGAGTAGCAATCACTCTTTACTGCTGAGCTATCTCTCCAGCCCCAACAAAAGTTATTTTTAAACTAATGTCCTTATTTTAAATGCCTCTAAAAACTTAAAATGTCCTTTCATTGTTAAACATTTTTAAAGGTTTATGATTATGACTTTTGTTATTAAACCCTTTCATCAGATAGTACAAACTAAATAATATCCATACTCTTGTACATGGTAATAAATTATGTTGGTTTTTTTTTTTTGGTCCTTTTTTGAGACAGGGTCTCCCTGTAGTCCCAGTAGACGAGGCTGGCTTTGAACTCACAGACACATTTGCCTGTCTTTGCCTCCCTAGTGTTGGGATTAAAGGTATGCCATCACCATACCCAGCACAGAGTTTTATGACATCTCAGTAATTTTTAAAAATTTTATTTTTGCTGTGTGTATGAGTGTTTGATCTGCATGTACATAAGTGAAACATGTGCATACAATGCCTGCAAAAGCCAGAAGAGGGCATCTGATCCCCCGACAGATGGTTATTAGCTGTCATGTGGGTGCTGGGAACTGAACCTGGGTGTTCTGCCAGAGCAGCCAGTGTTTTTAACCACTGATTCATCTCTACAGACCCTCAACAATTTCTTAATTAGTGAAGATTAGCACTATTACTTGAATGTAGTGTAATGAATGTTGCTTTTTGTTGAGTTGCCATATATTTTAGAGAGTATGGGCTTTAAAAATCCTAATATGCAGTCAGCTCAGAGAATTCCTCAAAAATTATACCTGTAGATAAATCAATTATTTTTCTTTCTTGAGACAGTCTTTCTATGTAGCTCAGGCTTGCCTACAACTCTTGAGCTGCCTGTTTCTGAATGCTAAGATTTTGGGTTTGCACTACCATGCCCAAAAGCAGATTAAAACTTTGAGAAGAATTTACTATATTTGTGAATGTCAAGAACTTGCCAATGCCAGATTTTACTCATATCTCAGAGACATCAGACCCTTCATAACCCATAAATATTAATGTTTCACTTACTTCATAGAGTAGCTTAAAACATACCAGCATACGAAATAATTAGTATTACATAGTAATTTCCTTTGTCATACGAATAAACGTTGGACAAAGTCTGGAAACATTTTATTTTCCAATTTGAATTACAGTAATTTTGCCACAGACCACAGTACTAGTGCATGTATGACATCAGACATGCTCTAAGAACAAAACAAAACCTACTGCCAAAATCCATGTCACCAATGTGGAACACACTTGAGTTTGTATAAAAGTACTGAACTAATATCCCAAAAAGAGGCATATGTCCACAGTACATAAGGAAGAGAGAGTTTTAATATGAAACAATCATTTAAGCCATGACATTATGATAAGAAGCAGGACTTTCTTTATAAAAGATAACATTTTAACTAGCAAGCAACATCATCTACACGTCTACAGAACAGGAAAGGTACAAGCATCTAAAGTAAGTTTTATTATCATTGCAGGTAACGTGTTATTGGGAAAACAGGACACAGATGAAGCTTACCACCCATGGTTTTTAAGAGTTTTGAGTTGCACACAGGCAAGCATCTGATGTATTGCCGCTCTGGCTTACAGAGGCCGCCTTCTTTCATCTTTCCTTGACCATTTGTCCTGGGAGATGAGTGCTCTCCTGGCTTCTGTGCCAGTGTCTCCAAACCCCCACCATAGAACTGCCAGGAGTTAGTAAATGCAGACATGATTTTATAGTGCTCTACTGAGTCCATGGAAAAGAAACAAGGGGGAAGTTACTGAAATTTGGAAGGGAGCAGGAAACCTCAGAGTTCAGAACTGTAGGACAAGAAGCTGTGAAAAGACAAAGCAATCCAAAGGAGGTACGCTTAAGACAGGACTGCTAATCTGCTAAAAACACTGCCTCTAGGGTGCCTGAGAAAAGCCACATTTACCTGAAGTGTTAGATGTTAGATGTTAAAGATTCTGATCATCCTTTTGGGGAAAAAAAAAAATTTAATGTCAACACAGAGAAATGATTTTTGGGTTTTTTTTGGGGGGGGTCTTTTTGAAACAGGGTCTCCCTGTAGCCTCAACTGGCATGGAACTCACTATGTAGACCAGGCTGGCCTTGAACTCATAGATCTGCTTGCCTTTGGGACTACAGGTATGTACCATCACACCTGATTTTTTTTTTTTTTTTTTTTTTTTTTTATACAGTTTTTTTTTTTTTTTTTTTTTTTTTTTTTTTTTTGAGACACAGTCTTATGTGTTGCAGGCTGGCCTCAAGCTTCCTATGTAGCTGACAACATTGAACTTCTGATCCTCCTGCCTCCACCTCCCAAATGCTGGGATTTCAAATGTGCACCATCATGCCCAGTTTTATGGGGGTGGGGGATGGAACCCCGGCTTCGTGCATCAGGCAGGCACTCTACCAACTGAGCTATACATTCCCAGTCCACAAAGAAGTAAGTTCTGATCAGAGAAAATATGGGAAATTTTGAAACATGGAGCATCCTGGGGTGTGTGTGGGGGGAGCATGGAAAACCTGCTTATAGAGCAGATGGCAAGAGGGCAACCAGGAGACCATCCAGCGAATAGCTCAGCCTTCTCCAACATACTAACGGTCAGTTCACTCCAAGGAGAAAGGCAGGGCTGCTGCTGCTTTTTCTCTTACACCAACTGGTTCCCTAAAGAAAGTGAGAGCTCAATATGATCAAGACAGTTAACTACATTAAAGTTTAAACAAGCCTTTATGGGCTTCCCTAAGAATCTAATCCTTTTCTACTGAGTTCTAAGACATTATTTACAAATGAACTCTGGGAGTTTGGTTGATTTTAAACGTTTTAAATTTGAAATCTAAAACAGCACAAATGCTCATGTGTATAAAACCTCTACCCTGCAAAAAAAGAAATTCAAAATGTTTTAGAACCCCTCTTTACAAACTGCTGTGTCTGTATCTACTTCATATTACATACTATCAGTTTACTGCATAAGTGCTAGCACCCTAATTTGCTGAAAGAATATTAGATGAAGATGCTTGATCCTTTTTTTAGTATGCTTAAAATCATCAGATTTCATAGTTAACAATATTATGAGGTGCTTTTTTTCTGTCACTAGGTAGAGTTGGAAGTCTAAAAAAACAAAACAGCAAAAACTGGCTATATTGTTTACTTACAAAAAAAAAAAAAGCACACTAATATAAGAAAATCTTGAGCCTCCTGTATGTAACCTTCTAATTTGGGAACAAGCCAACATACTAATGGTCAGTGCACCCCAAAGGAAAACACCGGCATACTGCTAAGCACTCTGATGAACTACAGATTTTCTTTTATAGCTTCAAACATTTGTGTGTCCAGAAACACCTACAAGCACGTAGACCAGGAATCCTCCAGGGAATGAGCAGAACAACTTCTCAGAAAGGAACCAATGTTCTAAAACATCAGAACTTGGCCTTGCTGAGTTAGCCAAGGTGCTGAGAGTTAGCCAGGCTAGACCAGTACCACATAGCCTGTATCTTTGTGCACAGATGTGCATGTGAGATGAGGTCTTTTGGAGAAGGAAGATTACATGGCAAAACACAATTCTACCTGTGTTTCTTTGCCTTGGGGTATCTATTTTTTTAAGTTGGGAGTTATCACTTTTCCTAAACAAACAAACAAAAAAATCAGTCTGTATCACAGACATGTTTGGGTAAAATTAGACAAACTTTCTGGCTACTCTCATAATTCAACACTTTTCCTCACCCAAAGCATCTGTGTAATTTTTGTTGTTGTTGTTTCGTTGAGTTGAGACAGGTAGCTCTGACTGGCCTGGAACTCACTGCACAGACCAGACTGGCCTCAAACTCACAGAAATCTGCCTGCCTCTGCCTCCCAAGAGCTAGAATTAAAAGCGTGCCTCACCACACACAGCATTTTTCTTATATTCACAGATTCATACTTAAGTATGGTGTCTGGAAAACACAAAACACTTGACTATTCACCTATTTGTACGTTTTTTAAAAGGCAAGAACTTGGAAATTAAAAATTCGACCACCTTATGAGCCAAAATGTCCCCAGACTAGATTTAGAGAAGTTTATTTAGTTTTCACAAAGACAGCTAACTACTAAAACCATAAGCGATAAGGAGCTTACGAAACGGCATAAACCATTTTATCAATGAGCACAACACAGTACTACCATGGTGAAGTGTCAGCTCCGGAGAATATCAGAAGGCTCCCCTCAGCCATCTTGTTCCACTCTGTCATAAGAGTCAGGCCTAATGCTAGGTTAAAAGTCAGCACTCAGGCCCTGTGTGGTGGTACATGCCTTTAATGCCACCACTCGGGAGGCAGAGGCAAGTAGATCTCTGTAAGTTCCAGGCCAGCCTGGTCTACATAGTGAGTTCCAGGCCAGCTGGGACTACAGAGAGACCCCTGCCTCTGCCTCCAGAGTGCTAGGATTAAAGGTGTATGCCACTACACCTGGCAGAGCTACTGTTTTCTAAACAACATAGTAACTATCTGATTTTCACTAAATTCGTCATCTTGTCAACTGTATAAATTGTTCAAAACCTTTGCTGTTTCTAGGGAATGCTGTTTCTTATAGAAAAAGCTCTGAATGATAAAATAATAATTTTAAAAAAGCTGGCACTTCATTGGATAATGGTCAGGGATGAGGATGGGAGACAAAACTCACAGCCCAAGTCTTCGGTGCTTTGAGACATGTGAGGTACAGTCCTGTCATATCAACACATGAGAGTGATTGTTAACCAAAATCTTCACATGCAATTTCTTGATAAACGCTGCTGCCGTGATTGTTTCAACTTCCACACACCTCCCCCACCGACTCCCAGGCTTCAACTTTGCAGATCATTATACTATTTACATAGTATCTGGAGCTCTTTAAAATATTTTTATTTTATGTGCATGAATGCCTACATTTATGTATATGCACCTCATGCATGCAATGCCCATGAAGGCCAGAAGAGAGCATTGGATCCCCTGGAACTGGAGTTACAGGTAGTTGTGAGCCACCATGTGGGTACTGGGAACTGAACCCAGGTCCTCTACAAGAGCATCAAGCACTCTTAACCACTGAGTCATCTCTTTAGCCCCAGCATTCAGAGCTTTTAGGTCACAGTAACAGCAGAGCATTATTAGAGACTTCCATCCATCTCCAACCATTGTCTAAGTTGCTATCAACTGTCACAGAGTTCAGTGTGACCACAGGTTATGGTCTGCTTCTAAAGTGAGTTTGTATGGTTTTGAAGAACATCCCTCCAACTGTGCCAGTTCTCTCTAGATTGAGGGTACTCTCGGGTCCACTTCACACTGTCCTCAGTCACAGCAGAAACTCAGAAGCCTGAAGCACAGCTTCAAGTTAGCTCTGACTCGGCTCTTACTGGCCTTTAGTTAGAATGGGTTCATTCTGCAAACTTGGCTCTCCAGAGCAACATTTCTCAAGCCGTACTGAGGAGCTCTTGGATAGCAGCCCCCTGAAGGGCCATGTTGACGTCTATCTTTCTCATTTGCAATGCGTCCCAGTTTAAAATCATTAAAGAAAGTGTTCTCCATCCTTTAGAAGATACTATATTATTATTTATCTCTAACAGTAACAAAACATCAGAATAATCAAAAAAAATTGAGAGCATAATACCAGCATAATTCTAAATGATACAACGGGAAACATACTTTATGCCAACTTTACTAACCGCAGTCAATTTTGAACTGATCTAATATTAGCAATTTTATGTGACACAATCTACAAGTTAATTAACAAATACTGAGAACTGACTGTACGCTATGATCTGTCTTGTACCCATATAGGTAGGTACCTGGAAAGACTAATTTGAAAAATGAAATTCACGAATTTCAAAGACCATAGCAGAGAAGGAATCAGGTGTCAAATCTACTATCAAAAATGTATTAAAATCAGTGAAAACATTTGTGTTCCCCATATTACATTTATACAGATTGAATGTGGAAAACAGTAAATGGATCCTTAAAAAACTTATTGAACTAAAAGTTTAATGTATGATCAACGTTCAGCACTGAAGAATACATTTTTCAATGATTCTAACATCTAAAAGTTAAAACTCCCCTACCTTTGTCATATATTATCTTGAAGCTTCAAGAGGCTTTAATGATAAATAACAGCAAACATTTATTTATAATGTCTCTAGAGCACCCACACACATTATTCTTATTTAAGAGAGTGAACGAAAACAGTAAAATGAAGTGAAATGTTAATAAGAACTAAAAGGTAATATCTTTTGTGGGCATTTAAAAAAATAATGTGAAACATTAAACTCCTGTGTCAGCAGCTGACCACTGTGATACATAGAGAAAGAATGCAGTGCTGCCATTGGTCATACTAGCTGTCACTGCCCACGGCGGGTGGACCAAAGGTCTCTCTAGTACGCATTAGCTGAACATCCTTGTCAGCCATGCACGTGTCGCAGCCCCACACTGCCGATGCTTCTGCGGTCAGGAGGCCGTAGGCTGTTTCAGTCATTCCTGTGCAGATCCGATGAAACCATTTCTGACAAGAGGCCTCACACAGGATGGCATCCTGATCATCATTGACTTCGTTTGTACAAATCCCACACGGGTACACGGGGTCGGAAGATGAGTGGCCGAGCCGGCTGGGGTGCAGTGAGGACTTACTGCTTTTCTCAGGGATGCACATGTCTGCTGCACCCCGGGGCTGCCGGGGCTTATTCTGCGTCCCGTTGGCATGGCTGTTGTTCGGTGCTTCAGCACTACCTGAACGGCTGTTCTCTTGATTGGCTGTGTTATTCCGGTTGACATTTTTCAATTCGATATTACTCTGATTGACTGTGTCCTCCATGTTTAAGTGAGGTGGGTGAGCTGAGGAGTTCTGATGACTGTTTTTGGCGGCTCCTTGACTGAAGTCTTGTTTGGGAGGTGGTGCTTTTGCTTGACCAAACGTGTTTTGGGGTGGAATAAAAGAATGATTCGATTCTAATTGAGAGGTAAAATTTGAATTACTGCCAGGGACAAAATTTGATGCCAATTCGGGGTTAGGTATTTGGCCAGCATTCTGTGGAGGAATCTGACTGAAATTTTCAACAGGATTTTGTCTAAAATGTTGATTGGGCATGTTGACATTCTGAGCCAGTACATTATTGTAAGATGGATTTCCAAAACTCGAACTGTCGTGTGGCCCGAAGTTAAAAGCATGAGGTCGATTAAAACCCATGCCCAAGGGATTTTGAGGAAACGGGTGTGGCTGATTCCTGAGTGAGTAAGGACCACAGTAGGGGGAAGACATTCTTGGGGGAACGTGGGGTGGCATTCTGAACGTGCTGTAGCCTCCAAAGCCGGGATAGCCAGGACTAAGATATGGATTGGATGAAGGCAGTGGTTTGTAGGAGACAGTATTGTAGTTGTCATCAAACGGATTGGCAGCCACTAGATGGTCAGAGTTTGGATTTGGTGGTGGAGCGTACTCAGACAGTGGAGGAAAGGAAGGTCCCTGAAGAAAGAGTGTAAAGGAAAACATGTCTGATCAAAGAAGCCATGATAAATGCCCTGTCATAACACACAGAACCTGGCTTTGGTCAAATCTCTTACAGCATCATGAAAATTTAGTGTCTTCACTTGCTCTTTCAATTACAGCTGTTTATATTTAATGATCAAAACAGGTATGCGTCTCACTTGGAAAGGAAATAAGGCATGCTTTCCTCGGTCAAACTACTTCCAACTCCATTAACTCTCCTCACTGTTGTAATTTTCATGTAGTGTGTTTGTCTATAAAGCACACTGAAAATAGCAAGTAAAACCATAAAGGCCTGTATATATAACTATTACAACCACAACTTACAACAAAAGAGACTATTTGCTTCATGGTATGCACACAATACTGACTTACTATAATGAAACATTACTTCAGGTTTAAATTATTTTTAGACGTTTAAATAGAACAATAGGTAGCTGGGTATGGTGGCACAAGCCTTTAATCCCAGCACTCAGGAGGCAGAGGCAGGCAGATCTCTCCAAGGTCAGTCTGGTCAACATACTGAGTTCCAGGTCAACTGGGGCTACAGGGAGACTCTGTCTCAAAAAGACCAAAACTAAACCACCACAATGAGTGCAGGTACCCCTCTTGGGCTCTGCAGCAGACAGGGAGCAAAGCCTACTACCAAATGTAAAATTCACTTATCAGCCTGTTCATACCAATAGATGGAAATATTTACTAAGGGCTGAGATATGGCTCAGTGGTTAGGAGTACTGGCTTTCTTTACAGAAGACCCCGATATGAATCTCAGTACCCAAATGGTGGCTGACAACCATCTGTAACTCCAGGGGATCCGACGCCCTCTTCTCTCCTCTGTGGGCGCTGCATGACACAGGTGCACTTTCATACATGCAGGCAACATGCATATACACATAAAATAAAAATAATAATTTTTTAAAAAATGTCAATTCACCTGTGTGTTTGCCTTGCGTTTTTTCTTATCTGGGCTTCCTAGTTGCGTGTTTGGGCCTCCTAAACCATCCAGTCCACTGTCACCACCTAAAAAAAAAATCTTAATATTTCCATTTGTAAATGAAACTGTTTTAGATCTCTCGTAGTAATATTGAGGCAGGATAGAAAGACAGGGAGGATTGTGGGAATATGAGAAGGAACAGAGCCCTTCACTCAGGAGTCTTGTTGAAGCCTTTTGCCAGCAAGGAAGCAAGAACCCGGCACAACTACAAACTACTTAAGGTCTCCCCCATTCCCAGCTATACACTTGTAGTTTCCTAGGCATCTCACCAGAAACCCCATTTACAGAGAAAGGGCATACACCAAATCGCTTGTGAAACCCTAGCAGCTCCTGGTTTTACTCTATCAGATCATGATTCTATCAAAGGGGCCTCCAGAGTCACACTAGAATCTCACTTAACAACAGAAGGAGAAAAAAAGAGGGAAAAGGATAGCAACCTTTTGAGATGTAACTTGATAGCCACCAAAATGATACACACAAAGGCCCTTAATTGTAAACCTGGCATGGTGGTCCACACCTTTAGTCTCAGCACTCAGGAGGCAGAGGCAGATGGATCTCTGTGAGATCAAGGCCACCCTGGTCTACATAGCAAGTTCTAGGCTAGTTGGGGCTACTGGGAGACTCTGTCCACAAACAATAATAGAAAAACAAAACAAAACAAAATCTTTAAGGGCTGGAGAGATGGCTCAGAAGATAAGAGAACTTGCTGCTCTTTTAAAAAATGTATTTTATCTATATTTACGTGTATGTGTGTATATGAGTATAGGCCATATGTATATAAGTGCCCACAGAGGCCAGAAGAGGACATCTGATCCCTCTGAGCTGGAGTTACAGTGGTTGTGAGTCACTGATTGTGGGTGCTGGAAACTGAACTCATGTTCTCTGGAAGAACAGTGAGTACTCTTAAGAGCCGAGTCGATTCTTCAGCCCTGCATTAGCTGTAGAGGACCCAGGTTCAATTCCCAGCACCCATGGGGTGGCTAATAACCTCCAGTAACTCCAGTTCCAGGGGATGTAATGCCCTCTTCTGACCTCCATGGGCACTGCACAACATGCGTGCACTTACATACATGCAGGGAATACACTCATATACATAAAATAAAAGTAGTGAAATATATTTAGTAAAATCTCCAACTCTTCTTCATACTTGTTAATCCTGAAATTCTTTTTGGCCTCAAATCATAAATCCCAGTTTAGCATGAGTCCAGGTCCCTAAAAGATTAAAGGAACTCCTCAGGCTGAGGAGGGTGAGCGTGGAATGCTGTCTCTGTCCCATCACTACTAACAGTACCTAGTATATTTATCTATTACTATTTGTGTGTGTGTGTGTGTGTGTGTGTGTGTGTGTGTGTGTGTACAAATGCCACAGGACACTATGAAAGTCAGAGGACAACTTGTAGGAGTTATTTTTCTCCTTCCACCATGGAATCCTGGGATCAAAATCAGGTCCATCAGGCTTGCACAGCAAGCACTTTACCCACTGAGCTATCTCATTGGCCAATATCTACTATATTTAACCTATTGTATTACTTTTATCCTTGCTGTGACAAAACACTTGACATAATTTAAGAGATGCAGGACTTACCATTTGAGCTCAGTTTCAGGGGGTTCACTCATGGTTGCTTGGCCCATGTGCTTATGCAGAACACCATAGCAGTAAGGTAAGGTGGAGGAGGTTTTCTATCTCAAGGTGGACAGCATGCAGAGGGCAAGTAGGAGACTGGGGATCAGATATAACCTCCAAAGGTACACCCTCAGGGACTGACTTCCTTCCATTAGATCCACCTCCTAAAGTTTCTAGAACCTCCCAAAACAGCACCATCATCTGGGGACCAAAAGTTCAACATATGAGCCTAGCCTCACAGCATCCAAATCTCAAAGTCTATGGGGTACAGCTCTACAGCATCCTTCCTCCAACCCTCTAGGTTCCAATGACCCCAACTTCTCTTTGCTCACCAAATCCTACATGTAGAAGGTGCTTCTCAGTTAGTTCTCCATGATACCTCACTTTTGCTTTCTCAGTTTAATACCTTTACTTTATTTACTTTATTTTAGTACTTTTAAACTTATATTTTTATTCATGTGTATATGTGTGTACCTTGTGAGTGCATGCCATGTGTACAGTGCAGGTGGAGGGTAGAAGAAATCAACAGACTGCCCAGAAGTAGAGTTACAGGCAATTGTGAGCTGCCCAATATGGGTGCTGGGAACTGAACTTGGGTGCTCTGGAAGAGCAGTACGTGCTGTTAATCACTGAGCCATCTCTCCAGCCCCTGATTTATTTTATTTCTGTGTGTGTGTGTGTGTGTGTGTGTGTGTGTGTGTGTACAAATGTGAGTGTAGGTACCCACAGAATCCAGAAAAGGGTGTTGGATCCCCAGAGCTGGAGTTACAAGCAGTTATGAGTCACCCAGGGTGGGTTCTGGAACTCAAACCTGGGTCTTCTGCAAGAACAAATGCACTCTTAATCATTGAGTCATCTCTCAAACTCTATTATCATTAATTATTATTATTATTTTATATAGGGTCTCCCAGGCTGGCTTTGAACTTATGATCCTCAGCCTCCATGGCTACCAAACCTGGAGCTTCAGTTCAACACTTGTTTAACCATTCTCTTTTGTAAAATTATATTATTATAAATTAAGTAATGGGCCAGCAAGATGGCTCAGCAGGTAAAGGTACTTGCCCCCAAGCCTGACAACCTAAGTTAGCTCCCCAGAACCTACAGGGTAGAAGGAAAGAAAGATGCCTGAAGGTTGTTCCCTGACCTCCCACATTTTTGCCATGGCAAAAACACGCCCACATCATACACACACAGAGAATCAGTAAATGTAGTACACTAAATCGCATCAAGTTAAAGGTATGATTAATGATTTCCTGCTTGGAAGAGAAGATGCATCAGACTTTAGGATGGATCATGTTCCTAATTTCTCCTAAGTTGGCAGACAAGGTACTTAGTCAGATTCAAGTTTCTCGTTTTTACAAATTTGCTAAATAGGCAATGATCTATTCCTCCATCAGGAGGCATAAAATTTGTTTTTAAAAAAGATTTATTTATTTATTTATTTATATATTTTTATTTTATGTGTATGAGTGTACTGCCTGAAGAGGGTGTCAGACCCCTTGGAACTGGATAAGAACAGGTATTAGGCACCATGTGGGTGCTGGGACGTAAACCTGGGTCCTATGGAAGAGCAGGAAGTGCTCTTAATGTAGTCATCTCTCCAGCCTGTTTAATGTGTGTGTGGGTGTGGGTGTGGGTGTGTGTGCGCGCGCACACGTGTGCGCAAGCATGCATTCCACACTACATGCATGAAAGTCAGAAACTTTCAGGAGCTGGTTTTCTCCTTCCACCATGTGAGTTCCTGGGACTGGATTCAAGTCATCAGCATGCTAAGCCATCTCACCAGCCCCTGGATGTTTTACTTTAGTGCTTGTTTTAATTTTATATTGTGTAAACTATAACATATCTGGCCTCTCAAAAATAATGCCCACATCAGGATGGGGGCATAGCTCAGTGCCAGGGAGCACACATAGCATACATGGCTTCAGGTTAAATCATCCTGAAGTCCATTTTAACAAACGGAGAGAATACTTCCTCTCTCATTTCATTAGGCTAGTATTACCCTTGATATAAAAGTTGGACAAAGTCTTGGCACCCCAGACACCGGGGTAACCACCACTGCTTCCTGATCCTTTGTGGTCAGGAAGGAGCCCTTTGGGCCTGGGCCTGCCCTGACCTCCCTCTGCTTCCCTAGGCTGCACAACCCTCTGGCTCCTGCATAAGTCCATTGCGCCCTCTCCCCCAGCCTCATTCACCCTCCCATCTACCCCGCCTGTCTCTCCTTCTAGCCTGGGTACTGTCCTATTCCTCGTCTTGCCACCCCAGACACAGGGGAACTACCACTGCTTCCTGATTCTTTGCATCCAGACTAACCCAGTTTCTCCCTGCAGTCTCCAGGAGCCCTTGGGGCCTCTTCCCACCCCCATCTCCCTTTGTATCTCTGGGTGGCACGGCCACCAGCTGCCCGAGACCAGCATCTTTCCTGGGCCCTGCTCCCAGAACAGTCCAACCCCCAAATTCCTGAGGTCAGCATGGACATGTTTCCTGGAGGGATCCAGACCTTAGGAGAAAGCCTGAGAGCATCTGATCATCTGACCTGGGCCTCTGTGGGAACTCCCGAAGACAAAAGAAATCTGGCCATTCCAATATAAATTCAAAAGATAGAACTGGAAGCTTAGACAAACCAGTTTTCATGCCCAAAAAGTAAACCACAAAGACACATAAAGTTTACAAAAAGGAACAGACCTAAACTTGAAGGCTTGGTCTCACACAAGAATCAGAAACTACAAAAGAAATTCACATGTCAAAATCACAGAGAAAAAATAATAACATGAAAA